CTATGAGGTGATCAAGTGCTGTTTGCATTGTTGAGACTGTATTAGGTAAGGCGTTGTCTGAATAATACAGTGTTAAGTCGTCGGCGTACGCCGAGAGGTGAACAGGATGGGTGTTAGGCAAATCTGCTAAGAATGCAGCAAAAAGGGTTGGGCTTAGTATGGAGCCTTGTGGAACACCCGTTTGTATTGGGATGTCATCGGAAAACTCGCCTTGTATATAGACTCCTGTTTTCTACAGATCATCTTGGCTCTTCTTAAACTACTGGCCCACTGGCCCACCATCAGTCACTTCATAACAGCACACATTCAACTTATGATTCCTTAAGAGTTGTACCGTGTGGTCGCCTGCTTCAACGGTGTCTTTGCTGGGTAGAAAGATGTTACTAGGGCACGTCATTCCCCATGACTTGCATTCCATGTTGACTCTCCTTGTGCTGGTGTGTAAATGCAATTGGGGGTATTCCTGCTTTCTCTGCGGAATAATTTCATTCTATCCTGTTTGCCTGCTACACCATTATATAATATACATGACTTGTTCTTAAGTTCCTTTCGTAACAAACAAACATTGGTATTTCTGGAGGGTGGATAGTGATAAAGAATCATCATCATTGGATCGCGCCGGCCATTCTTAGGCTCGATGTCAAAATACGTGAAAAACACCGCTGGCCAGAGGGAGGAAAGGATGCCAGGTTTAGCAAAAGGCTAAACCAAAGGACCCTGCAGACGACCCGGGAGGCCCAAACCCCGGAACAGGAAAGAAGGGAACCCGGGCAAACCAAAGCTATCCCACGGCCACAGAGGCTAAAACGTGCAGAGAACAGCGAAGAGCCGCAATGGAACACAACACATGATGCCCCCCCAGGCCTGACCACCCAAGCATCCACCCAAGGACCCCTCTGGAAAACACCAGACCCAAACTTCACCAGAAAAAGAGGAGACTGCAGCAAATGAACAAATTTACCACCAGGACCAAACAAGCAGAAAAAACTCGTGTGCCAGAGGAGAGCCGGAAACTCCCCGACCTGACCCCCAGAAGCCAACGCCAACAAGAAAACGAGACCTGGAAAAAACAAACCTGAACTGAAGGGGCCATGACAAACTGAGAAGTAAGAATATAGAGCACCGGGGCCAACGACCAGGATGGTACCAGAAGCGCATGAGCAGGTTGGAGGTGAAACAACGCAAGAGACAGCTAGCGGAACTGAGCAAAAGGAACCATAGCCGGGGACCACGGCTATGAACCGTAGCACATACAGACAACCAACGCCGCACGGCTCAGGGTCAAAAGAATCCCAACAAGCAGCATGGTGGAGGCACAACTGGTGAGTGACGCCCTGAGACAAGGGGACAGAGCAACATTCATTCTTGCAAGAAGTGAGAGGCAACTAAAGGGTCACATCCATCTGAACACGGGAGCCCCCACGGGGTTTCCCAGGACCCTTAACCTTCTCAACACGCTAAGGGAAGCCCAGACAGGGTACTGCGAACCGGCGCCCAAGTCTACCAAACTTCTAAATGCTGAACCCCTGGGACGTGTCCACTCAGGGGGGGGCCTAGCAGGGGATACCACCAACACACAGAAGAAAACACACACTGACCCCAGCAACAGAGAGGGAGGACAAGGCAGACCCCCACCAGGCAGGAACAAACAAAAACAAAAGAAAAACCATGCTAGAGGACAACGTACCCAGGCGGAACAGAGCCGGCCGCTATAATAGGTGATAACTATCTGTGCAGTACCCCACGCCCCTACCATTGACGAAAACTACCCAGAGACAAACAAGGGCAACAAAGCCCCAACTTTGTTGCCCTTGGCGAAGGGTGGCCAAGGACCGAGCAGTAAAGGACACAGTGGAGGTAGATCCCAAGGTGACTTGTGGAATGAGGCCCCAAGGGGCTTACCCAACTTACTGGGTACCTAGGGAAGGGAACCCTAGGCACATGCAGCCCGAGTACTTGCATGAATACTTGTGTGTGAGCCAGGAGGAATATTTCTCCTGGCTCAAACACCACCTGTAGAGACAGCCCACACCACAAAGCACAGAACTGAGACAAAACAGGAGTCAGAGGCACATGACTTCTCCAGCATCGCATCAGCCAAGAACTGCCGGTTGGATCGCTGGTGCGGGAGGTCTAGGGCTCCCTCATCTCCCCTTCTGGGGAAGGGGGGGTTGCGCAGACTGTGACGCAGCGACGTGATGACTTCAGGCTCATTTGCTAATTTTTGTTTGGAGAGTTCTGTCCATTCGTTCGGCTTTCAGTAGCAATCGTTTCACTTGAATAGGGGTTTGTTTTGGGACGCCTACTTTTCTGGGTGTCAGACCTGGTCGATGGCAGACATAGAATGCTCCCAACCATATGGGGGGTTTCTATATAGGCCATTGCTCCTCGCGCCTCTCTGAGGGGGACAGGTTCTGGCTCGTGGTCCCCGGTAAGCAAGAATTCCATGCACATTGACAGATGCCAGAAAGTTATACATATCCATTCACCCTGGATAGTTTGTCAACTATAAAATCAATGCGTATACGGGGGTACCTCAATTTTTTGTTGTTAATCCATTCCCAGAGATGGTACGAATATCGAAAAATATGAATACAGAGACGAATTTTCCCATCAGAAATAATGTAAATTGAATTAATCCGTTCCACACCTCCCAAAATATTATCAAAAAAATACATTTTGTACAGAAAACTACTCATAGTACTTTACCTTATGGAGGACTCTTGTTGGCATATGGAAGACAATGAGGAGGGGGGAAGAAGGAAAGGTGTTAGTGTTTGGAATGGGAGTCCCCTTCCATTATAACATCAGGCAGTGATGACACTTGTGGCGTACTCTCTCTCTCTCTCTTACGTTTTGCAGGCATACCACTTGGACCTGGTGGTGGCTCACTGCTCTCTTGTCTTACTAAGAATCTGTCTATAGACACTTGTTTTCCCCTGTTTTAACACTTGTCTGTAGTCAGACATCACATTCTCTCTCTATGAATGATATCTTGTTTTTCCTCTATCGACATCCTCAACTATTTTCTTAGGTTGAACATTACCACTAACTTCCTTGGAACCTATGGCATGATATATAATAAGAACTTTTATGTTCAGAAACCAAAAAAAACAAAAACAATGAAATTTTTCACAAAGAATTCGAGTGTGATTATCACTAGGCGGAAGACACTGGTAAACTGAAGCACCATGCTCGCAGTGGACGCCGTACGTGTATGAACAAACTCCGTGCACCAGGGCAAACAACGAATACCGAATCAAATTTTTTGGAGAAATTGAGTAAGAGTATGGAATACAGGGGCAATATGGAGAAATTGAGTAAGAGTATGAGTACAGGGGCATACGAGTACAGAGGTTCCACTGTATAATCAAATACTTTGGTAATAGAGCTAGAGAGGAGTAACCATGGTAAATCATACTTGACTCATTTCTATAGCGGAGGTCCATGCCAGAACTGACTATCCCCCACCACCACCTCATTCTGCCAGCATGTGAAACTGCTTGTCATAAAATAAGTCATGTGCTTTGATCACACTGGTCCTTAGCCTTTGTCAACCTTTCTAAAATATAGAAACTTCAAAAATTCAACATATACAAGTGTCATTATTTGTCTCATCTCTGCCCTCTCAAAAATTGGCTCCTTAATACAGCACTTCTCAGTCCTTACCCGTTGGCAGGCTTCTTGGTTGTCTGTTACTGGTAACAAGCTACGTACTCTTAAATGTTGTTTCCTCGTGGCAGTCCTCCTTCCACCGAAACCGGCGGTGGGAAACAGCTCTGGCGAGGTTGCGTATTGGCCATACTCGCTTAACCCATGGTCACTTGATGGAGCGCCGCCCTGCTCCTTATTGTCCTAGTTGCATTGTCCCTCTTACGGTCGTGCATGTCCTTCTTGAATGTCCTGACTTCCAGGACGAGCGTGTCTTGCTTTCCGACCGCCCCCCGCGGTCACCTGTCCCTCAATAGAATTCTTGGTGACTCGGATACTTTTGATATCGTTCGCCTTATGCGTGTTTGTTCTCGTATTGGCATCCTTGGTGATATTTAGCGCCCTCTGATTATTTTGCGTATTTGATGGTGCTACATAGCCTTCCCGGTTTGGTGCCCTCTTTTGATAATTACTTACTTACTTTTGATAATTACTTACTTACTTTTGATAATTACTTACTTACTTTTGATAATTACTTAATACAGCACTTGATTTTCCTTCCACCAGCCTTATATTTTGCCTCATGCCTGAACGTATTGCATTCATGTTCTCTTGGGTTACATAATTACCTTAGGGCCTAATTACCTGTGGATATCATTTCTAGTGTGTGTAGTTGCCTATATTATTAATTGTGCAGTCTCCGTGACATAGTGGTAAGACGGTCGCCTGGCGTTCCGCGAGCGCTTTGTCCTGGGTTCGTATCCTGGCCGAGGAGGATTTACTGGGCGCAAATCCTTAACTGTAGCCTCTGTTTAACTCGACAGTCAAATGAGTACTTGGTTGTAAAAACGATTCTTCACAGGGGTCGTATTCCAGGGAACATAGGATTAAGGACTTGCCCGAAACGCTATGCATGCTAGTGGCTGTACAAGATTGTAACTACTCTTGTATATATAAATAAAAAAAAATGACTTGCTAGCATAATATATCATTATAATCTGCATCTTCATTATTTGTGATAGCAGTATTGTTCTTGTCATTGCATTTGTAGCAGCATCAAACATGTCCAAAATAAACAAAACAAGGTTTGTCGCTTTGATTATATTGCAAATAGGATTCTATATGAAATTCATGTACTGTATATCCTGTACTGGTATGTTCTTAAATTACTGTAACTGCATGCACTATTTGAACTGTGACAAACTATGCAGTAACAATAATGTGCCTTAAGATATAAAAACCAGACCACACATTAGAAGACAAGGAGACGATGACGTGACAGCATCTTGGACCATTATCAAGTTGATTGTGACAATCTACCTAGAACATAATAATTGTACATCCAACAGAGGTAACGGTAGACCTGTGGATCGGAGGACGCTACGAGTCTACAGGCTGGAATTGGATTGATAACTCTTCAATGATTCTTGGTTCTCCCTTCTGGGCAGTCAGGTATGCATCATTAAAAAATATTAGTATTTATTGACTGTTGTTAGAAAGACTTAGTTCCTTTGAATTTAGAGATAAGGACAGTTTAATTATGTTGTGTGAATTCACCTAATAGTGCTTGCAAGGGTTGATCTTGAATGTTTTAGTCCTGCATCTAAACGTTTAATCAACAGGTGAACAGGTTCCCGAACTTTTGGGTTGTCACCACCTCATGACATATCCCGATTTCCTGGATGATCATAGGTGTTGCCTATGTTGATCATAGGTGTTGCCAATGTTGATCATAGGTGTTGCCAATGTTGATCATAGGTGTTGCCTATGTTGATCATAGGTGTTGCCAATGTTGATCATAGGTGTTGCCAATGTTCCCTTTAGGTCACTTGTTCCTTGATACAATCCTTGATGAATCCGGCTCGTCTTGTGTCTTTTGGCTCTTGTACTGGCGTTCTGAGTGATGTTTCACGACCTTTTGAATACTGTATCCTGCATTATTATGGAATAGGTTTTTAGGTTAATTACCAAGATAGGTAGTAATTACAAATATGAAATAGAATAGTTGATATTAACCAATAGCATGGAATAATATGGTCGGAAAAATAGTGAGAAAACAAAAGTAGAATACTACATAGTAGTATTCCTTTATTATTGAATATTATAATTGGTAAAAACTGACACTGTAGAACGTTTTGGTAATAGCCATTTGCAGGTAATAGTCAATTCACAATGTGGCTGAAACATTAACTCAACCCACATGAAATTTAACAAGTGACGTTTTGGGATGTTACGGTCCCTTGTTGACATAGTCAGTAATGTAAGAAACATACCAAGTTAGAAGCAAATACATAACTAGAATGGTGAAAGAGCTGCATGGAGATGGAACTAACAATTGCCTTTTGTCTCCCACCATCAGGCATGTAGAGCAGTGCATTCCCCGCAGGGTCACCATACCAGGCCCAGACCCTAATACAACAGTCACCACAGAGGCCAACAATGGACAGTGCTACCACCATGTGCAGTCTCCAAACACTCCTCCTGTAGGCGACTGTGCAGCCCTCACCTACCCGCACTACCACTACATTACTGATCAGGACTGCTTCTCTAAGAGGAGTCCCCTGTGCATCTATCAAGGCCAACAAAATCCTGAAGACACTTAAATCAGAACCAGTGCCTGGAATTTGGTCACACTGGTATGTGTTGATTTCTATATGTAATGGCAGCAGTTTTGGTTCACAATGTCACCTTTCAGGGCGACGTTATGTTTCATGGAAACATTACGTTTCCATGTTATGTTTCATGGAAACATAACGTCTAACGAAGAGGGGGCAGGAGTTGTCAATAATTCCAGCCACTAGCTACGTAAAGAGTTTTTCATATCAACTTTATAAAAAGGATTGTGGAATAAAGATGCTACTATATTGCATCTCAGATTGTTAAATCCTTCTTGGGGAAAAAAAAAGTCTTGAAATTACATGTCATTTTGAAATAATTTCAATAAAATTTATTTCTACTTCAAGCATTAAATATATGTAGAAGACAATTATTGAAGGACTTTGAATGTCAGAATGTCACAAGATCTAGCTGAGTTTTATCTAATTATATATATAAAAATGTAGACGAGCCTATTTGGGAAGACATGTTTTGTAAATAGTTTAACCAATGTATTACCAGGCCTACTCGCCACCATAACTGATCCTTGGTGTACATAACAATTTACTACATATCCCCTAAAGTAACTTGTACCAGGCAGTCGTGATGCCCCTTTATCGGTATGTCCTTAAAACGTATGACCTGCCATTATATTTCTAGTCTTATAATATGTCTGAATGGAATTGTAACTATAAAATTTACTGGAGATATGTAAATACTGAACAATATGTAATAAAAGAGAACTTTGATATGGTGAGTGTATACATTGTTATGACCTGTTGTGATGAACACACCACACATTAGAAGATGAAGAGAAGACAATGTTGAAGAAACACTGTGGTTCCTGTGGATGTGGTTATCTTGAGATGATTTCAGGGCTTTTTTTTTAGTGTCCCCGCGGCCCGGTCCTCGACCAGGCCTCCATCCCCAGGAAGCAGCCCATGACAGCTGACTAACACCCAGGTACCTATTTTACTGCTAGGTAACAGGGGCATAGGGTGAAAGAAACTCTGCCCATTGTTTCTCGCCGGCGCCTGGGATCGAACCCAGGACCACTGGATCACAAGTCCAGCGTGCTGTCCGCTCGACCGACCGGCTAACTGCCGGTCGGCTGTTGGCTTAGGGAACCTGGATAAGTCAAACAGGCATCCTCTCCAAGACAATGGCAATTAGACTTCTGTATTTATTATTTAGAACATAATGATTCAAAATGAATACTCAAAACAAGTGATGATTAATTACTATGGGCAATCAACACACTACTGTAATCATAGGAAATCACAAAATGAGGATGACCTGCTAAAACAACTAAATTAAACTCGGGAACCTACAAAAAGCACTCGCTAACACAATGCATTCATTCTTCATTCAACCATGCGAAAATTGAATGGTTTTTGGCCGCTAGCGGCGAAAATCGCGCGGTTTTTGGCCGTTAGCGGCGAAAATCGCGCTATTTTTGCCCGCCAGCTGCAAAAATCGCATAGTTTCTGGCCGGTAGCGGCTTAAATCGCGCGATTTTTGGCCGGTAGCGGCTTAAATTGTGCGATTTTTGCCCGCCAGCTGCAAAAATCGCATGGTTTCTGGCCGCTAGCGTCGAAAATAGCGCCGTTTTCGGCCGTTAGCTGCAAAAATCGCGCTATTTTTGGCCGGTAGCGGCGAAAATCGCGATTTTTGCCCGCCAGCTGCAAAAATCGCATAGTTTCTGGCCGCTAGTGGCGAAAATCGCGCGATTTTTGGCCGCTAGCGGCGAAATTCGCACGATTTTTGGCCGCTAGCGGCGAAAATTTGAAAGATTTTTGGCCGCTAGCGGCTTAAATCGCGCGATTTTTGGCCGGTAGCGGCTTAAATCGGGCGATTTTTGCTCGACAGCTGTGAAGATCGCACGGTTTTTGGCCGCTAGCGGCGAAAATCAAGCTGTTTTTGGCCGGTAGCGGCGAAAATCACGCGATTTTTGCCCGCCAGCAGCGAAAATCGCATGATTTTTGGCCAGTAGCGGCGAAAATCGCGCGGATTTTGGCAGGTAGCGGCGAAATTCGCCCGATTTTTGCCCGCTAGCTGCAAAAATCGCATGGTTTCTTGCCGCTAGCGTCGAAAATAGCGCGGTTTTCGGCCGTTAGCGGCAAAAATCGCCCGATTTTTGGCCGCAAGCGGCGAAAATCGCACGGTTTTTGGCCGCTAGCGGCGAAAATCGCGATTTTTGCCCGCCAGCTGCGAAAATCGCATGGTTTTTCGCCGCTAGCGGCGAAAATCGCGCGGTTTTTGGCCGGTAGCGGCGAAAATCGCGCTATTTTTGCCCGCCAGCTGCAAAAATCGCATAGTTTCTGGCCGCTAGCGGCGAAAATCGCGCGATTTTTGGCCGCTAGCGGCGAAATTCGCATGATTTTTGGCCGCTAGCGGCGAAATTTGCACGATTTTTGGCCGCTAGCGGCTTAAATCGCGAGATTTTTGGCCGCTAGCGGCTTAAATCGCGCGATTTTTGGCCGGTAGCGGCTTAAATCACGCGATTTCTGCCCGCTAGCTGTGAAAATCGCAAGGTTTTTGGCCGCTAGCGGCGAAAATCAAGCGGTTTTTGGCAGGTAGCGGCGAAATTCGCGTGATTTTTGCCCGCCAGCTGCAAAAATCGCATAGTTTCTGGCCGCTAGCGGCGAAATTTGCACGATTTTTGGCCGCTAGCGGCGAAATTTGCAAGATTTATGGCCGCTAGCGGCGAAATTTGCACGATTTTTTGCCGCTAGCGGCGAAATTTGCAAGATTTATGGCCGCTAGCGGCGAAATTTGCACGATTTTTGGCCGCTAGCGGCTTAAATCGCGCGATTTTTGCCCGCTAGCGGCTTAAATCGTGCGATTTTTGGCCGGTAGCGGCTTAAATCGCGCAATTTTTGCACGCTAGCTGTGAAAATCGCACGGTTTTTGGCCGCTAGCGGCGAAAATGAAGCGGTTTTTGGACGGTAGCGGCGAAAATCACACGATTTTTGCCCACCAGCTGGAAAAATCGCATGGTTTCTGGCCGCTACCGTCGAAAATAGTGCGGTTTTTGGCCGTTAGCGGCAAAAATCTCCCGATTTTTGGCCGCTAGCGGCGAAAATCGCACGGTTTTTGGCCGCCAGCGGCGAAAATCGCGCTATTTTTGGCCGGTAGCGGCGAAAATCGCGATTTTTGCCAGCCAGCTGTGAAAATCGCTGGTTTTTGGCCGCTAGCGGCGAAAATCACGCGGTTTTTGGCCGGTAGCGGCGAAAATCGCGACTTTTGCCCGCCAGCTGCGAAAATCGCATAGTTTCTGGCCGCTAGCAGCGAAAATCGCGCGATTTTTGGCCTCTAGCGGCGAAATTCGCACGATTTTTGGCCGCAAGCGGCGAAATTTACACGATTTTAGGCCGCTAGCGGCGAAAATCGCCCCATTTTTGGCCGCTAGCGGCGAAAATAGCCCCTTTTTTGGCCGCTAGCGGCGAAAATTGGTCGATTTTTGGCAGGTAGCGGCGAAATTCGCGCGATTTTTGCCCGCTAGCTGCAAAAATCGCGTGGTTTCTGGCCGCTAGCGTCGAAAATAGCGCGGTTTTCGGCCGTTAGCCGCAAAAATCGCGCTATTTTTGGCCGGAAGCGGCAAAAATCGAGCGGTTTTTGGCTGGTAGCGGCGAAAATCGCGCTATTTTTGCCCGCCAGCTGCAAAAATCGCATAGTTTCTGGCCGCTAGTGGCGAAAATCGCGCGATTTTTGGCCCCTAGCGGCGAAATTCGCACGATTTTTGGCCGCTAGCGGCGAAATTTGCACGATTTTTGGCCGCTAGCGGCAAAAATCGCCCTATTTTTGGCCGCTAGCGGCGAAAATAGCCCTTTTTTGGCCGCTAGCGGCGAAAATCGGTAGATTTTTGGCAGGTAGCGGCGAAATTCGCGCGATTTTTGGCCGCTAGCTGCAAAAATCGTAAAGTTTCTGGCCTCTAGCGTCGAAAATAGCGCGGTTTTTGGCCGTTAGCCGCAAAAAACGCCCGATTTTTGGCCGCAAGCGGCGAAAATCGCACGGCTTTTGGCCGCTAGCGGCGAAAATCGCGCTATTTTTGGCCGGTAGCGGCGAAAATCGCGATTTTTGCCCGCCAGCTGCGAAAATCGTATGGTTTCTGGCCGCTAGCGGCGAAAATCGCGCGGTTTTTGGCCGGTAGCGGCGAAAATCGCGCTATTTTTGCCCGCCAGCTGCAAAAATCGCATAGTTTCTGGCCGCTAGCGGCAAAAATCGCGCGATTTTTGGCCGCTAGCGGCGAAATTCGCATGATTTTTGGCCGCTAGCGGCGAAATTTGCACGATTTTTGGCCGCTAGCGGCTTAAATCGCGCGATTTTTGGCCGGTAGCGGCTTAAATCACGCGATTTCTGCTCACTAGCTGTGAAAATCGCAAGGTTTTTGGCCGCTAGCGGCGAAAATCAAGCGGTTTTTGGCAGGTAGCGGCGAAATTCGCGTGATTTTTGCCCGCCAGCTGCAAAAATCGCATAGTTTCTGGCCGCTAGCGGCGAAATTTGCACGATTTTTGGCCACTAGCGGCGAAATTTGCAAGATTTATGGCCGCTAGCGGCGAAATTTGCACGATTTTTGGCCGCTAGCGGCTTAAATCGCGCGATTTTTGCCCGCTAGCGGCTTAAATCGTGCGATTTTTGGCCGGTAGCGGCGAAAATCGCCCGATTTTTGCCCGCTAGCTGTGAAAATCGCATAGTTTCTGGCCGCTAGCGGCAAAAATCGCGCGATTTTTGGCCGCTAGCGGCGAAATTCGCATGATTTTTGGCCGCTAGCGGCGAAATTTGCACGATTTTTGGCCGCTAGCGGCTTAAATCGCGCGATTTTTGGCCGGTAGCGGCTTAAATCACGCGATTTCTGCTCACTAGCTGTGAAAATCGCAAGGTTTTTGGCCGCTAGCGGCGAAAATCAAGCGGTTTTTGGCAGGTAGCGGCGAAATTCGCGTGATTTTTGCCCGCCAGCTGCAAAAATCGCATAGTTTCTGGCCGCTAGCGGCGAAATTTGCACGATTTTTGGCCACTAGCGGCGAAATTTGCAAGATTTATGGCCGCTAGCGGCGAAATTTGCACGATTTTTGGCCGCTAGCGGCTTAAATCGCGCGATTTTTGTCCGCTAGCGGCTTAAATCGTGCGATTTTTGGCCGGTAGCGGCGAAAATCGCCCGATTTTTGCCCGCTAGCTGTGAAAATCGCACGGTTTTTGGCCGCTAGCGGCGAAAATCAAGCGGTTTTTGGACGGTAGCGGCGAAAATCACGCGATTTTTGCCCGCCAGCTGGAAAAATCGCATTGTTTCTGGCCGCTACCGTCGAAAATAGTGCGGTTTTTGGCCGTAAGCGGCAAAAATCTCCCGATTTTTGGCCGCTAGCGGCGAAAATCGCACGGTTTTTGGCCGCTAGTGGCGAAAATCGCGCTATTTTTGGCCGGTAGCGGCGAAAATCGCGATTTTTGCCAGCCAGCTGCGAAAATCGCAGGGTTTTTGGCCGCAAGCGGCAAAAATCCTGCGGTTTTTGGCCGGTAGCGGCGAAAATCGCGCTATTTTCGCCCGCCAGCTGCAAAAATCGCATAGTTTCTGGCCGCTAGCGGCGAAAATCGCGCGATTTTTGGCCGCTAGAGGGGAAATTCGCATGATTTTTGGCCGCTAGCGGCTTAAATCGCGCAATTTTTGGCCGCTAGCGGCTTAAATCGCGCGATTTCTGCCCGCTAGCTGTGAAAATCGCAAGGATTTTGGCCGCTAGCGGCGAAAATCAAGCGG